TGAATCTGATTTCTTACCAGCTTGAGCGGGCTTCTGAACTGTCCTTCTTTCAATCCGTTTTTCATACTTTTCACCTTTAATCACTCTGTGTACAAATATGGATGGTACATGCACAAAGTCAGGGTCAATCTCATCCACTATTTCTTCCACTTCTGCAATGGTGATCTTAGCTGCTCTGCACATTGCTGGGTTAAAGTTCCGAGCACTCTTTCTGAATATTAAGTTACCATGCCTGTCTGCTTTCCATGCCTTCACAAGGGCAAAATCACCAGTAATTGCCTCCTCCATGATGTAATTCTTTCCATTAAACTGCTGTTCATGTCTAGCTGCACTTGGAATAGCAATCTAAAATAAATAAACAGTTTCATTTATCTATATTAATAAAGTATTTATAAAACACACATTTTAACTTACAATATACACTTATATTTGGAAGTTGAAAGATTTTATTGTAATAACATACCTTTCCATCTTTAGTATACTTAATAGGTGATCCACCTTCATGTATAAGGGTACCAAATCCAGTTGGGGTGAAGAACGCTGGAATACCAGCACCACCAGCACGGATCCTTTCTGCCAATGTACCTTGTGGAGTCAGTTCAACCTAGTGACAAAAAAAGGTTTTAGACTTTTTGGTATAAGTACCTTAATAAAAGGCATTATAAGCACTCATAGTGCTAGTAACATGAACCTTATCTAATACCAACCTCCAACTCTCCACTCAAAAACTGTCGCTCAAATTCTGCATTCTCACCAACATATGAAGCAATCATTCGCTTAACTTGCTTAGTCTTCAACAAAATACCAAGACCAAAGTCTTCAACTCCTGCAAATTATATAGTATGTGTAATTTCTGAACTATTATTCAACAATATGTTAATCAAAGTATCTATTAATAGTGTATTTAAATTAATTCTACCTGCATTGTTGGAGACTACAGTAAGACCAGAAACACGTTTATCTTTGACTGCGACAATCAGGTTTTCTGGTATTCCACACAAACCGAAACCACCGACCAATAACTTTGACCCATCCTGAATATCACTAACAGCTTCTTTAGCACTCTCGTAAATTTTGTTTGAACGTGTTGCTGTGCTATAACTGGCACATGAAAATATCTGCAACATTAGATAACAAAAAGTAAATAACTTCACAAAATGACTTACGAAAGTAAATGTAAACAATACCAGAACTCTACCTACCTTGGTGATAGTGTATACTTTATTTTTTGAAAAACCATGCGATTTGATCACAAATATCCTTCCCAACACCGTCGACGCCATCGTTTTAGCACTAAAATATAAGTAAAATGTCTTGATTATGTTTCACTGATTAACATTCACATTAACAATTAATTATTAACGCTGTTTAAAAATCGAATTAATGAAACAGCCAATGTCACGGTCTGTACGAATAAATTGCGTATTGTATTCACTTGTTTTTTAAACACTCGTATAAAGACTGTATTATGTAAATAGATAAGAAATGAATAACAATATTGTTATAAAATAAAAAATAATTTTCACGTACAAGACACTGCGTAGTGTATACTTCACAGATTCAAATTTCACTCAAAAATGACAGCGTTATTTTTTCGGAAGAGTTGCACAGGGCTGTGTTACCAACCGCGATAAAGTAGATAAAGAAACTGAGATTTAGCAGTTGTTTGTCTCACTATCTCGAGGTCAACCGGGGGCTCGTAAGCTAGAGAATAGTTGTTTTATTTATCGACAAGAACTGTTTGCAAGTTAATTTATGCGATTTAATTTAACATCAGGAGAGATTCCAGTTATTCAGGTTTTTTAGTTACTTATTGTTGATTTGCTTCTTTATAAAACATGCTGTACTTAATCGAAAACACTTTGATATAAACCTTAATGTCACGCGACGCATAATATTATTACCATGCTAAGAATAAATCTTATTTATTATCTGAAATTATATAATATAAATATACAAACAGTTAAATTTACTACCTCCTCTGTCAAGAAAGTACCGGGAAAAGATCAATTTAATACACAAAATGTCTGTTATTCATCCAAATTTTATTTATCACATTCAAAGTATGCTACTTTAGAAACGATAGACTTGCGCCAATGAACAATTTATTTATTTAGGTATTCTTTTATGTACACAATTTTATTATGGCACATAAGGCGAACTTAATACCACATACGGCATTCTCTGCCAGTCAACCTTAGGGTTTAACTCGTCGAGTACCGTCATTGTTTTGTAGAAAATCTTCGAAAAATCAATAAGGTACGGAGAATAAACTATCAGCAAAGAGAGAGAGAGGAAAAAAAAGGTAAACATTAAATAATATAGCTATACATCTATATTACACTAGCAGCCCGTCCCGGCTTCGCACGGGGTAGACAATTATAATTATTTTTGGAAATTTGGATTGTTTTAGTGACATAACTACAATAGTTGGACATAGTTGTTTGTAGACATTATGATGTTCTTCAATATTGTTGTACATTATTTTGTTCTATCGCTAATAGTTTCGGCAGCGCATTCGACGAAAGACATTTTAAGACTCATTTTTCTACACCTTCGGTTACATTGTTCAAATTTTACTAAGTATCCCTAATTTTTTTCAAAATGAAATGTAGCCTATCTCAAATTGGAAGAATATAGCATTCTATTGGTGGAATTTTTTTAAATCGGCCCAGTACTTTTTTAGCCTATTCATTACTAACATACAAAAATAGGTACAAATCTTTCCTCTTTATAATATTAGTATACCTCTAGATAATAGTAAATTGTATAATTGTATAGTCATATGCATAAAATATATAGGTTTTATACCTATATATTTACATACATAAATATATATCGACGAAGACCTAAAACATGCGTTGCAGCGATTTTAAATAAAATTCGTGAACTTGATGTCTAAAAGAGATTTTAGAGAGTTGTCCGTCGAGTGGAGGTTACGGCTGTGGCAACTGCCTAATAACTGGAAACAGGATTTTAAGTATTTTGGAGCACAAGGATCATTAAGAATAGAGAAGAGCATGCAGAGGGATCTGAGGGATCTCCTCTCACGGACAGAAAGCCATTTAAGCGGAGTACGGAAAGAAGAGATGTGGCCGTATTTAAGAAGACCGAAGATAAAGCGGATACAGTTATTGAGCATTCGATCCAATTTGTTAAGAAGGTCTTGGGATAGATCGGAGTAACAAACATCAGCATAATCAATAACAGGAAGCACAAGGGACCGGACAAGCAGTGTCTTGATATTTGGTGGCAGTAGAGAGATCGTAGCGTGGCAGTGACTTTCCGGCCGATCTGAGCAACCTGATAGTTCCAGTTGAGCCCGCTGTCCAGATACAAACCTAGATCCTTTACTTGAGGAGACAATAGTATGGTGGTTTCATTAAATGTTATCGGATCAAGCTGATTGACATTTAGGTTATTCAAGTAATAGGAACTACCCAAGATGAAAGCTTGACATTTGCCTACATTCACTGCAATCCCATACTTCCTTGACCAGTCTTGAATCGCAAGCAAGTCAGTGGTGAGATGTTCTATGCAGGTAATAATCCATTCATCAAAACATTTTTTAAACGCTGCTTCCGGAATTGAGTTCAGTTCTCGCCGCGAATTCTCCTTTAGGTATGTCTTTTATCAATTGAAAACGGGTGCCACGAAGTGGTAATTTAAGATTAGGAAAAAAAAATCAGCAGGAGCCATATCTAGTGAATATGGTGGTTGCTGGATATATTAAGTGAATATACTAAGGTATTTGTTAAGTGTTTGGTCAAAAATTCGTTCACAATGATTCATTTCAGATTTGTAAATAAATTATTGGTTACTTTTTTATAATTATATTACATTAGTTTGTTTTATTGTTTATTATTGTTATTTCTAATTGTATTTCTAATTATTATAATTTTTTTTAAATTGGTTTTTATCTTGTTTGTGTAACACACTATATGTGTCTCGGTGTTGTTATATCTTTTCCTGCCACAGGCCCTCAGGAAGAAATTCCAGTTGGAATATGTGGGGCCTATCTACTGTTTTTATATATGTATTGTCCTCTGAGTTGAATGTGTGTACATAAATAAATAAATAAAGCAGCGCGGCGCGGAGTCTGCAATACGAAAAATAAATCTGTTCATATCAGTAACTACCTAGGTCCGGAGACTTCGAGGAGATTAGTGCGTTTAGTTCAAACAAACAAATTCCATGGCTTTTTAATATTAGTTTCTATCAAGATTTTTTCCCATCAAAACAAATCGTAAAAATACAGAAAAATATTTATTTCACATAAATAGTGTTCCTCTTTACATTTAATTTTTAAATTTAATTTAATTCTAATAATTATGTTTTCTATTCTCTAACATAAAACATTCTAGATATCTAATGACTGTACATAAGTAGGTATCTAATAATCAAGATAAAATAATGATCAAATCAAAATAAATTTTGTAAATAGGCACTAAGGTTCAACTCTATGAATATAATTTATTTATAAGTATGGATATCGATTGGTACATAATCCGAAAATTAGATAAATACATTTTTACAATTTACTTACGGAGTTAAATATTATCTAAGTAGGTAGGTATATTAAACCTTTTAATCAATTAAATACCAAATTCACATTGCTGAATTTCATAAAATAATACTTTGGAAGTTTTCTTCTTTATAGATAGCTTAGTGTAAAAATTGTATTTTATGCATACAAATGTATTTATACACAAAATAGGTAGGTACTACCTACGTGTTTGTACAAGTATTCCACAAATTAGATATTTATGACCGATTTTCACTCACACAGATTCAAAGTTGTTCTAAAATGCTTTATTAGGGTATTAGGGTACATTAAGACCTTGATTTCACCATCTCTAGTTATGTTAGGTACTATCACTTTGTTGTCAGCTGATCGAACAGAAATAACTTAGCAGTGGTAAAATGGGCCTTAATGAACATAATAATAAGTCTCTATCTAAAGAACTTACACGAGAAGTTAAACAACTTTACTATCTTAAGGCAAACTTATCAATTTACTTTCTAACAAATAAATGACTCGTTTTTATTAATATCTTCATTATTTGTAATTACCAATATCTATGATATAAATCACGTACCTACAGTAGTTACAAGCACCCATTAGGTACATCAGCATTGATATGTATATAGTTTAGGTATTCTTGTAACTGCTGGGCTATTTAGTAACTGTCAATTTGAACTTTAGAAGTGAGCTCGATCGCGTTATCGCCCGTCATTGGTCGAGATAATTTCTCACAACCAATGGCATGGCGGACCGCGATCTTGTTCACTTCGATATTTCAAACTGAAAGTTACAGAATAGCATATCTGAAGTAAACACCGACGTCATTCATTTAAAACTCGTGCAATTAGCTTGAAACATTATTACAGGACCTCTTTCTTTAGGTAATTAATACATTCATTGACTTCTATCAAGTTGAAAAGAGGATGAGCGATAGTACCTACCTAAAATAAGTACTTAATACCAACATAGGTATCTCTCAAAAAAAAGAAAATTATTCTTAGCAAAGCATTAAATGAATTGACGTCTATTTTATAACATGAAACACAACATAAAAATTACAATCCAACATTATAGGTATACTGTTTTGAATAATGCTGTAATTATACATATTATTATGTTTAGGTTCCTGGACCGTATTTAGTACAAATAAGTAGGAATTTACCATTTCTTCATTTCGATTGGTGCATAAAAATACGTCTTCCTTCTAATAATGTCGTAGGTACCAAAATCATTGAAAAGTAATCTACTTTAGGTAAGTATTTGTAAATCTAATTTTCTTAAATGCTTAAAACATCACGCGGTTACACGAACGTGCACCTAAATTGTTGTACCTAGTGTTGTTAGTTAACTTCCTTTGTACCATTATTTTTCTTCGGTCTACTGACAATTTGAACCATTTTCACTAAGACTACTTACAAGTTTCCATACAATCCATATATAGTAATATAACGCCTTCTACCATAAACGCAACTGTGTAGTCACTAAGTAGTAGATATAAATTACTTCCTTTATTTAATATTAGATAAGTAAGTATCTATTTTAAAGTAATATCTACTTGTATTTTTCAAAAAATGCATACATAGTATTCTTGTTTACAAGCAAAAATCATTAATTAGGTCAGCATCACGTTTTGTTGTATTGAAGCAACGTCGTCACTTTTAATTTAGTACAAGTTTATCATGCAGGTACTTAGCAATATACGTGTCATATTCATTATTCATATTCGACTCAAATTAATCATATATACTTTGAAGATAATCAACCAACACTGATATCATGAAAAATTTGTATAAGTGCTGATTACAAAGTTGTTCAAACAATTTAATGGAAAGAATGCAACACGTAAAACGTGGAACTGGCTGCCGCCGCTCAAGCGGGGAGCGCAACTTTAGCACAACGGGACTATTAAAGTACCAAGTGGTTTTGTTTGGTTTAACAACAGGTGGAACTTCCAATTATTTCATTAACAGGACCGGTTCTACGAATGTAAATTTGTTCCAAGAATAGCAGAGTACTTCAAGTGTAAAACTAATAATATCAGAACCGCTGCTGTCTATCGAAACAAGTATCTAGGTAGGGATTCATATTCATATTCTCAACGGATCGAAATAGCGGCAGTTTATGTGAAGTTTTAAATAATGTTTAATGCAGCCGTCCAAAGTAGGTCACCGACCGTCATTCCGAGGATCTAAAATTATCAGTTTATAATATCTATTAAGGCAACTTTTATCTACATAAACATTCGTGTTATTATTACCTTACAAAATAAAAAAGTTTCTAACTGAGTCTACCAGATCTAGCGTCAGTAATAACACCCCATAATTCAATTATAAACTCGTCCGTGAATCCGAATTCTTGTAAGTCACTATTATCGATGGCTTCCGCTAGTTGCATAGAGTTTGCTTTTCCTTCGGCAAGATCCCACATCTGCGATGCTAACTCGGAGTCGTTGATGCCCATGAACGATTCCAGTAAACTGTTGATTTTCTCGATGCCAGCTTTCGATCTTTCATCGTGCTGGAAAATACATAAAATAAATTTAAATAATTGGTCTTTATTGTTATGGATATTTCAATACACGACATGTCGTAAGATGAAACAATCAATGGTACAGCTCGCTGCATGCAAGATCACAAGATGTGATGTGTACCTACCTACCTAGGTTTCAATTAAATTCCAATTCTATTGTTAAGTACTTACGTCATCTACCTATCATTCCGTATAACCTGCTAACATGATTTCGAAATAAAGAAACTCATTATTTATATATTATGTGAAGTATGTAGCTAACTATTTACTTATAGATATAAAATGCCCAGTATGTCGCTATACAAATATGGTCAATTTCATTTATAGATAGGCATTAGTCACTCTTGATTCTTAAGGCAAGTTTTGTTAGTCACAGTATTAAAGTTTTATAAATAGGTAGGTACAGCCTTGAATATGTTCTAACAAATGGCAAAGTAATAAAGTCCAATGAAATCTAAAATATTTTAAGTAATTGTTTTAGCGAATCACGTGAATACTTAGAAAGGAAACGTTCAGATTTCTATCAATGACGACTATTATTCTAAAAAAGCAATTACAAAAGACATTGATAATTAAGTAACTGTATATAATGTCCCAGTACTGTACACTACACGAGAACACACAGAACACAGATATCGTGTGTGAGCAGAATTTGAAGGCAATATGAAACGTCAGCTTATGAACAGATGGGCAGAAAGAGAAGGCAGACCGCAGCCGAACAAAAATTCTGCAATCGTTGTTCATAAGTATATTTTCTATCAGACACAGTTGATAACATTGTTGATCTTGTCGTAAAGAATGTAAAACTTTGTATGATCCCCGGCCAACCCAAGTGACCACAAATTATGAATCGAGGCTTTATTTGTTGCTTTATATTTGAGCATATGTATGTGAATGTGAGCATTTGTGTTAAGTATGTCACTAATAATAATAATGTGATTCATGAGTGTCAAGAGCTGCTATTATACTATTATGTATGTCTGTTCTTGTTGTTTATGTAGGTATTTATAACAAATACCTGAAGTAAATTCTTGTAGGTCGAAAAGATACTTACGTCGTTTTCTATTGTTGCCTGGCCGTTGGCCTTAAACCGTAATGTCTCTTTGCCAGATCCGTAGTTCTGTTTCCTTCCAGATTTTGCTCCGCTCGTCTTTGGTCCAATACTTGCGAACCCGCTTTTAAGAGGTTCGACCAATCGAATTGTAAAAGTAGTTCCCTTTGGAATGTCTTTTAAAATCTTTGCGACTTCATAATGTCTTTTGCCAACCATATTTTCTCCATCTAGCTTCTCGATGTGATCTCCGACCTGAATTAAAAGTGAACAAGTTTAATTTTACAATCAGTTATTTCCGGAGAATTTCTTAACAAGGCCAACGAACGATCACCGTCAGAAACATGCCAGTTTCTTCAAAAGACTCGCTTATGACGCAACGTATCTAATGCATGTAGGCATACATTCATTTCTAGCGATATTAACCGAGCTACCGTATCGCAACAGGAATTAGCACCGATATTTCTGTTAATAGGCATTGTAACAAACAACAATATTAAACACAATACAATAATCCATTAATTATGGAAGCGTTAGTTTTTACCTTAGAACTATGTATTTACGTATCTACCAATTTCTTTCCCAGCCCAAGCTTTTAAGGTATCGTTGTGTTATTTAATGAGTAGGTACATTTCATTTTCATTCTCACTGTATTATGGTACCATTGGTACTGAAGACAGATAAGCTACATAATGATGACTCTCATCATTGTGCAGCTTATCTGCAGTTTTTATCTTGCTAGACTGTTTCTGTTCATTATGTTTATAATTTGAGATCTTATTTTATTGAATTAATATTTTTTTAGGTGTGGTACAGCCATGTTTCGGCACGAATGGGCCGGCTCGACCGAAGTGATACCATGGTCTCACAGAAAACCGACACGGGAAGCAACGCTTGCGTTGTTTCGTCGTGTGAGTGAGGTTACCGGAGGCCCAATTACCCTTTCCCCTTCCCCAAATTCCCTAATCCCTGAATCCCCAACGATCCTCAAACTCCTAATCCCGAAAAGGCACCGGCCTTTTTGGTGCTCCAGGTGTCCATAAGCGACGCCGATTGCTTACCATCAGGTAATCCGTCTAATCTTTCACCGTCTAATGCCATAAAAAAATATATTAAGGGAACAACAGTTTCATACGACTATTTTCATATCTATTCATATTTCATAACATTTATCAATTCATAGAGCCAAAGTTTAATAGATATCAACGCCTTATCTGAATCACTCGGTATTTCCTCCTACATAATTTTTATTTTTACCTTAATACAGCCGGTTATTTTTGCTTGGTTACTATAGTTTTAACTTAATATTCCGTAAACTTCCGTAATCTGTACTTTTTATTCCATTCTCAAACCCTGCTTACTTTCTTACACTTAGCACTTTTCATTTTTCACAAGTTCCATTAATTTCTAATCTTAAACTCCCTTCTTTGTGGTCTATCCCGCATAAAATGGAATGCCCTGAGGAACTCCATAAAAATGGAGAGAGTATACTAGAAACTACGATACATTTATAATGCTGTGCCCATGCAGTATGGACCACTCAACACCTACGTTTATTGAATAATTGAGTAGGCACTTGTGCCAGACGTCTAGCAGGTCACCTAAGTAGTTGAAAGCTTTCGCCAAATCCAAAAAGAAATGTACCCAAAGACAATTGAAAGAAGTCATTAAATGTTTGAAACATTTTTAAGATACACTGAGTGAAATGACTAAAATACCAGTTATGGATTATAGATATAGTTTAAGATATTCTTAACGCATTGCACTTACGGCTTAAATAAATAAGTCCAAGTTTGGATTGACACCAACTTTTGACATGGATTGTATAAATTTTCTGTCAAGAATTTAGATCAATTCAGATATTTTGGATTGAAATCGGTAATTAATTTGCAGGTACTCGTAAACTCTTAAAGTATCGACTCGAAATCGAACGACACATGACCGACACACATAAGAAATTCTAACTGCTGAATTTTTAAGTCAATGTCTTCTTATTATATGTACATAGGTATACCATTTTAGTTCTTTCGTAACTCTTCCGAGCAATAGGTGGGGTCACGGGGTGTAAGTTTAAGGGCGAGTGATCTAACCTTGCTAAGCCGACCGTCTTCCAAAAAAGCTATGGTAACTTACAAAGTTACGTGACCACAACCACGTTTTTTAGACGTCAATATAAGAAAATTTACATTTCAACATTGTTCTGTTATTTTCTATTATAGATCCAGTAATCTTAATCTAGGCAGACAAATTATTAATTATTTTATCTACATGAGATACGAGTTTTAGTACCTCTTTATCGCATTCCATTCTCACGATTACATTGTTTATTGATCGTGAACCTTTGAAGGACCTCATCCAAATCCAAGGCCCTTCTTTACAAAACACCGAGCACATATTTCTCACCTTTCTAGGAACAAGCACTACATGAATGATAAATATTTTCTTACCTCTATATGTGGTATTCTCGCTACAATAGAACCTTCTTTTATCCTTTTTATAAAGGCATATCCAGCACCATTATCTGTTATTGTCAATCCCAAGGCATCTTCAGTTTTAACTATTTCTATTTCTTTAGGGCGACCTTTTCTATGTGCAAATATGAAATCTTCTAATCCTATTTGTCCACCTAGTAGTTTCTTCATATCCACTTTGTGAGTATTCAGTGTGCAAAATAGAATCTGAAACCAAAGAAATGCATAGCTGGTACATTTTGTGATATTTCATTTAATACCACTAACCTAATTAGCCACGCCTTAGTTAGGTGCGTGACTAAAAGCTATTTTCTTTCGACCGTGTTAATCATTAAATAATACCTCAGATTTCTGGTATTAAACATTCTTCTTATTTACGATTCGATTGTAATTTATTTTAGTTTACCCAATCACATTTTTACATAACCGAGTAGGTAGATAGGTACCAATATCATGGTACTCAGCATTTAATTAGAAAATAATATTTTTAAGTTCTTTGTTCCTACCTAAATTAGTGTTCTACCTATCTAGAAAACTTAACCAAATTCAATTCAATTAGAAGATAACATCTCTTGATCAAACACTAGGTTTATGAAATTAACTGTCAATGCGTTGGTGTAGAATGTAGATAAGCACCTACCTACCAGATAAGAAATAAATGACACACTGAGCGACAAACCATGTGCTAGTTTAGCGAGTAAATAAAAATATTGATATTTATTTAGATTTTTGTGTATCACACATTTGATTGAATTGCGTGTGTCTAAGTGCGAAATGGTTGCATGGCAAGGTATGCGTTGCAGGTACGACCGCGCTCCGGTCCTTGACCCATGTGTAGTAGGCCATCGCACAGGCACACATACGGCGGCGAAGCGTGTCTGCAGTCACTTGCCACGTTCGTTTATATCAACGAGAGACTGCGCCCCTGGGCTGATCCACTTCCTGGCTGCTCAGCCGTGCGTACATCCGCACACTGTGACATTTCATACTTACCCACATAGTTACACAGATTTATCTTTACGTTACACGTTTTGTGCGATGCGATGTTACAATAAACACATTTTAACCTAGTTTATTATATATTGGCTGTTCTCTGTAACAAGCTTAATATTCCATCAAATATGTGTATGTCAACAGACAACACGCAAAAATAGGTGGGTATAGATTATAGAATATGTCCACCTTAGGTATAGTAGTGTTAGTTTCTGATATGTTAATAGTTTTTGAGAAAACCAAACCACGTGCCTCTTTTTTTTCAGTTTAACACTCAGATATTCTATTATAACTAAAACTGCAGACAGGCGCTTCGTGAGACGTTGATATTATGATGAATGGGTGATTTACTGTCTAAGATTAGATAGGAGAATTTTGGTAAATATTTAACATGCTCTCGCTCTCGGGCACCTACCTATTTTATTTTTCCTCTGATTTTTAACACTAACGCGTTCAACTCTACTAGTTTAGACTAACGGCATTTAAAACTTCGTTATGATAGTAGTTATAGTTTTTGGTTTTGTATTCATTACTCAATTAGTTTAGCAATTAAGAGAAAAGAACTCTAAAATTAGTTTCTACAAACGCAGTAACCGCTTTTCTCCAAAAACGAGGTGCTTTATCTACCGCTATCTGTATGGTATGTATCTGGTACGGTTTGCTTAGTTACGCAATCATTGCTACTAACAAAAGGTAGGTTTACAATATACCTACATAAAATTAGATACCAAACACTCACAGCAGACTGAAATGGTGTAAACTCTATTATCTTCATTCTCACGACTAGGCCTTGACAACGAATAAACCTTGAGCGTTTTCACAAGCCGTGAAATATCAGGAAATTAGCGTCCGTGCCATTTTCGCCGGTGACCTTTAAGGCATGAACTGAATAAAGCGGTCGTTGGACCAAAATGGGTGAGATATTTTCATAGATAACATAACAATCAATTTTCAATAATAGCACCTATCTCAGTGTTCATTATCTTCAAGATGTTTTAAGAAACTTTGTTTTTTCGTTACTAATATATTTAATTTTACACCTGTAGGTAAATAGCTATATTACATTTATTCGAAATTAAGTATTAAGTCATTGTATGATAACTTCATTTGTCCTGCTAAAATGGGCTATTAAATTCATATGGTTTATTGCATTAAGCCTTATCAGGCAAATCTTATCAATCTAGATGTAGGTAGGTAGGTATCTGTAAGTGAACTCATTCGATTTAAATCTACCGAAAGGGAATCGATTCACTCGCTCATTCTGATTATAATCAAAACAACTTTCATGAAAGTTATTAATTATTTAGTCTATTTAAGTAATTGAACGCCGATACCATTCCATTGACTCTTGCCAGGTAGAAACAGGGAAAGATCAGGCAAAACCATAAATAGGATAGTAACTTTAGAAACCCGTAGGTAACCAAAAACCAATAATATGTACCTACTGGTGCCTACGATCCGCGATTGAAACTTATGAAAAACTGCTGAAAAAATCTGTTGAATAGTTGTTAAATAAAATTATGTGTCTTTATTATCTATAGGTATGGATTTGTGTGACAATATTCAATTAGTGTTCCATTGTTCCATGTTCTTTAATCTTTTTTATTTATTTTTGAAGAGTCAAACTGTGTCACTAAGTAACTAGGTCAATAACGTCAACTAGGTTCATCTTTTAGTAGCAGCAGCAAGTTTAAAAGAAACAACTTGATTACAGCGACATAGAAATAAACTACTAAATTTACTTCGTTCGTCAAAATCAGCAGTGACGAAATACATAGTAGTAGTGTTAGTATTCTGTGGTACCCTACCACAAAGCACCTGGCCTGTACAAAATGTCACGGAACTCCAGATACGAACTTAACTTCACTTTTATTTTTAACACGCTGTTTTTTCTGTTATCGAGCGATCCTTTGTTAACACCGTGTAGGTGCATGAGTACTTAATACCTAATTAATGTTAATGTGGTTTGTTAGCATTAGCATGTAACTCTAATCATCGTTGATTTTGGTACCTACCCATACATACGGGTATAGTCTGTTAAAGTTACTTTAATGAGAATACTAACGGAATGTTATAAATACTAGGTCTGTATCTACTGTCAGGGTGGAATTTTGTAATGCCACCTGAAGGGGAAGTAGGTATTCTTAATACTTAAGATAGATTACTCAAAGAAAACATTCCAGAATAAATTAGCTTGTCTCAACGGTAGTCTAACTGACTAAAATCTGTCAAAGTTTACACTCTGTACTTTTGTTGCATCGATCGTTCATTGTTTTCCTTTCATTAAATTTATGAAGTTCGTTAGAGAGATTTCATCCTTATTGACCCTAACAATCGAAGCAATAAACGTACAGGGTGTAACTTTTACAGATTTTAGTCGGTTAGAGTACCGTGTGTGGCATGCGAATTTTAAAATGCAGTTTTCTTTCTTTTCAAAAATAAAGGAATTTTTTCTTTGAGTGTAATTTTCTATCTTAAGCATTAAGAGTACTTTCCCTTCAGGTGGCATTACGAAATTCCACCCTGTATTTACCTAGTCATAAAAATCGGCTCACTCTGTTTTTGTTTACTAATTTCGAGAACTATCACCGATGAACTGTTTCAAATAGTGGTTTATTTACACTGTTTCAAACAGTAATATACGTTGATGTACTTCAACGGTTATTTATTAGAATAACTTGGAACTGAAAAATATGGGGTGGCAACACAAGAAAAAACGATCGCTTTTTAGTGGTGGTAGGTAACTTGGAAAGATGTTTACATAAAGATCGAGGTGTGACTATAAGTCACAAGACAACACAAGAAGAAGCCTTTTTTTAAAGGGGGGAAAATCATCGAATGACTCCTCCCGCCTGGGTGAGGCGGGAGCGGGAGGGAGTGTCAGACTCTTACTGTCTAAAAACCACCCCGTTCCTTCTCCTGCACGTCGAGCCGGAGCCCCGGTTACCCGTTAGGTTCTCCGCGACTCCGAATCGGCATCGGCCCTATGAGGCCCCATCTGTGGTGGTACACAAAAAGAAGCCTTCGTGATGATAATTTAAGAGCACACGAGGCAGCTACAGGGTCGAGCTTGAACACAGCTCATCGACCAGTCAATTTTAAATTTTTGCAAAACCAATGATTTTATTACGCTTTTGATGCATACAATAATGCTATGGGACGACAAGGAAAACGCTATGCTCATGTAGTGCTCTGTGTACCTGCAAGTACAAAAAACAGTGATTTACAGTGGGTGATCTGTACCTAATGTAATTAGGGTGAGATTTCTTTAACAGCTGACGGCTGGCCGGTATATTACAGAGATTCTGGAAGACCATTGTCATGTCCTATGCCGGCTAAATCAGGGAAACTTCGAGCTTATAAAATGAGCTTGTCTTTGTGGTATACTTATATTTTGTTATCAACATGTAGGTATAAAATCAAACCTATGTGTAGACTTTTTTTTTTTTTTTAAGGGGGGAAAATCATCGATTGACTGCTCCCGCCTGGGTGAGGCGGGAGGGAGTGTCAGACTCTTACTGACTAAAAACCACCCCGTTCCTTCTCCTGCACGTCGAGCCGGAGCCCCGGTTACCCGTTAGGTTCTCCGTGACTCCGAATCGGCATCGGCCGTAATGGGCCCCATCTGTGGTGGTCTGATGGCTCTTTGAGGCGCGCGCGGACGCGCTCCTCGCTCCGCATCATGGCCTGCACTAGGCCCGGACGCGAGAGGTCACCATCGCCGATCACTTTCCTGAGGGCACGGCGGTGCTCAACTCACGCAGGGCATTCTCCCACCGTGTGTTCCACCGTGTCCTCAGGGCGGTCCTCGCAGTGATACTTCTTGTGTCTAGGAATGAATTATGTAGCGTTGGTTTAGAATCTCTGGTTGTATTCGAGCTTTATTATTCCAAATTCCAGATTGCTATACTGCATTGGCTCGAAACAGCACATCTCGGCGTCATCATTATAATCTACTATTTCGAATCATGAATGTGCCTAAGGTAGATATTAATGCACATTACATTAGTAGGTAGGGACCTACCTAGCCATGTACCCTGTTATACCTACTGTTTTTATCCCAAGTCATGACTTCTTATTTGCATAACTAGGAATATTTTTTTGCATTAACCGTATGTACAAGGTAGGTATGCTAAGTTTCTATCTTTATTTTAAGGGCAGGAATGTAACATCTGTTTACATTCTTTCTAGGTAATTTTATATTATTACTGGAGGAGTAAGATTTTATTTAAATTAAATACCAATTATAATCATTGATAGGTGATAATTATTAATTTTAGGTAGGTATCAACATAGTTCTTCCACAGAAGTAAATGTTATTTACGACCTTTTTTTGTTGTTGTTATTGTTTTTTTTTTTGCGAATTTCGTACCCAGCAGTCCTGCGCTCATTAATCGATTCCACAGTTGGCGTTAACTTATACTTGGAGCCGCGGAAGACTTAACGGGTTGCCGGGGCTCCGGCTCGAAGTGCAGGAGTAGGAACGGGGTGGTTTTTAGTCAGTAAGAGTGTGACACTCCCTCCCGCCTCACCTGGGCGGGAGAAGTCATTGGATGACTTACCCCCGTCAAAAAAAAAAAAAATACCTACTTTTAGGAAAGTAGGCACCTTTTATAGTTGCAAACAATGTTTAGCAATGCAAAAAATATTTAATGATTTGGTAATATCCACTCGTACGTAACAGGTCATACTTATTGTGAACTCTTAAAAAGAAGCAATTTGAATCTATGACGCACTGCTTATGGTAAATTATATACCTGTACCTACCTACTCTTATCAGTGTATTCGTGTAGTGGTTGTCCATGAAATGCTTGTGCAGGCAATATCTACAAACTAGGTGCCTACTTAGTCTAACATAACATTACGTTGTGTTTAGTCATGATTTGTTTAATAAATCTTGTATTAGCCAATTACACATACATGTAAGCACCTAAGTAGGTACCGACTTATTTATATGAAAGATAAGTTGTGATAATGTTTCAGGACGTAGCGTAGGTACGTATCCTATCTGTGAATTCCACATTTCTACGAACTAGGTACGATGATAGGTGAACTGACCACCGCGTATTGTTTTATTTAATGATTCAAGATAACTTATGTCGGTACTTAGGAGCCTTAGTTATTGGCAGGTTCTATATAGTCATTTATACAAGTCAGGAGACTCGGCAGTCACCTCGCTCATGGCACTGCAATAAATCATGATTCCACATATTCCATTCAACAAATCAACAATGACTCAAACTTGTTCTTGAGAAATCTGTTTCAATAGGTAAGTAAGTACAATGGTACCACCTACGTTAAACTGTAAAACTTTTCAAAAATATGGAAAATAAACCTTACCTCGTCAGGTGGAAAATCGTAACATTCTGCTATCTTTTGATAAAGCTCCTTGACATTAGAAAATCCAGAAATGAGTCCGAGAGGGCTGCCGTGTGCCTGCTGACAGTGGAACACCAACTGTGACTTCTGTGCTCCATTGTTATTGTCCACTCCGTTGGCTTGCTGGTGAGGCTCCTCAACGGGAGACTGTGGCACTGGAGGCGGCGTGTATTTAGGCGCCTTCTTCTTAAATAACGACATAGTAAAAGAGCACTACGTAACGGTAATAAGTTTTCCTTTAGTGAGAAGTTGAGAACGTCAGTGCGCACACATTCTCTAACCGTGCACAATATAATTTAATCACCACACAGTCGCTTATCTTGAGAGAACTTTAAAATATATCGTCGCGTCATAGCACATGATAACTTATCACCCAATAGCGATATTGGGTTAGATAATGCGATGTTTAGACGAGAGTTCTCTACAACGGGCAGCGACACGGAGCACGCTCGGGCGACAAACGAACGACTGACTGCCGACTGGCTGGTTTGTTTGACAGTGGGTTGCCTTTGCCTGCTCAATGGTATGACGGCTATGAAAACACGATGCGCGCCCGCGCCTCCCGTACCCGTTGGCGCCGCTACGTCATCAAATGATTGTAATAAAAAACTAAACATGTTCACATTGCTTTGCTTGAACCCCGGGAATCGAAGCAGTTAATAAAATTAAGTTAAAGTTAGGTCCCTATAACAGTTTAAAAATTGTTTTGTATGTAAATGTAAGTGTAGATACTTACATTTACATACAAAACAATTTTTAAGTAATAAATATGACATAAGTAGGTCCCTACCCATGTATCTTCATCTATCTTCAATCACCTTACCGTACCTACCTAAAGTAACCTATAGCCTGATTTAGAAATGACATGCCTGCCTACATAGTTGCTCCCTGCCTATCGAGTAAGGTATATGAAATATAGTCGGTAAATAGCAGTGAAAATAATACTTAAGTAAAAAGGTACCTAACGATTACGCCAACTTTAACCTTCAGGTTTTGTAAATTATGATTTAACACCTATCAGTTTTGTTGTCTATTCCTGTACCGACCTATTACATTACTGCCTACTTAGATTTTTTTTATATTTAGGTACACCGCAATTAATATAGGTTTGAATCAGAATAACTTTATCAGACTTCAATTAATATGTAAGTTTTCTTTTCTCATATAGGTACCTACGTAACATAATATCACGCCTTTTTATCCCGAAGGGGTAGGCAGAGGTGCACATTACGGCACTGTACAATGTAACACCCACTTTTCATTCAAAAACCCAGTAATACTTAGCCCGATTCGGGAATCGAACCAGAGACCCCTTGCCCGGCAGTAGCACTTGTGACCACTCGGCCAATGAGGCAGTCATATAGGTACCTACCTAATATAAATATTTTTAGTAAGATGAGAATATTTAATATCTATAATAGGGATTTCGTAATTTCCCTGCTTTCTTCATCGTACTAATTACTGTATATTTTATACACAAGAAAAACGGTGGGGTACGCCACCGGCTTAAAACTATGAACAAAGTTATAACCATCATGCAAACCCTGGCGTGTGTGGCCGCCTTTAGGGATGATGTGAAATGTGGTCAACCATGCACACCTGCCTATGAGAAAACTGTTCACTCGAGTCTTGCAACAGTGAACACCCCCCAAGATGTGTTTTTCAGTAAACACAGACTCAATCAAAAGCTAGTTATAAAATTAAAACTTTTCATATGGATTTGTATTTTTTTTATTAGTTTAGCGTTAAGTTTACGACGAAGCTACAGCTTTCTTGGGTGTAGGTTTGCCTTCCTTGAAGCCATTGCGGAAACGCCTCCTCACGATTTTCAGGTGACGCATGCGGCCAGTTCCAGTGGTCTTCCTGCGCTTGGCCTTCACTGACCAGTGGTCTAAAAAAAACAAGGTATAACTTTAGTACTTTCTTATGAAACTTCATTTCACAAAAACAACAGCAGCAGCAATGATACATTTTAATTTTGTAATTTGTTATTATTTTTGTGTTGGGTAGTGCATTTAAGAGTAAAAGGATTGCGCAAGTATAGAATGTACACATTTAGACTGAAACTCGACTTTTATTTTGGACACTGAAGATTGAAATTATTAGGCAAATATTGTTTGAATTTATGATTAAACAAATGTTTGTGACATTTGTTCTAATCAAATTTCAATTAGTCTACCTACATTATACAAAGAAATATTTTAAAAGCAAATATCTCTTCAATCAGTGTAGGAAATAATATCAACATTAGTAAATATTTTCCCTAAAGACAGAAAGTGTGGACATTATGCAATGAGGTCGAAAACATGGTGTATACATGTTCTGAACTGGTGTTGGATTTTTGCTGTAATCTGATGGCTAAAGGTAGCCTGTGAAATTTAAAATTATCAAGTTTTTTGTAATCTTAAGTTACAGTGTGATATTGGATAGTACATTTATACAATATTATATTTGTGACAGTGAAATATATGTTTACCCAACAATATTTGTTATAACCATCAGTATATCTCTGCAATTTAGAAGGTGTACCATTTTTTAAAAAGCAAAACATTGCCCCACATTTGGAACTTCACATGTATCGTGGGTGCGTTTACAAACATACAAGTTCACATACACATGACACCCAGACCCGGAACAACAATCTGTGGATCACACAAACAGTTGTTCCTGAGTATTATTTATATGTAGAGATATGTTGATAGTTTTAACAAATGTGATAGATATAGTAGTATATATGATTAGTACCAATTTCTTTGACTGGATTTACACGTTGCATTGTTCTCACACAATCAAACCAACAAAACTATGTAACTAGAGAATTGTATATATAACCCAATTGAAAATGAGTATCCTATGGAGTTTCTTGCTCGTTCTTCTCCATAGGAATCTACACCTTGGAATGAGCAACTAGCTTCACTTCTAAATTTTTGACGTTGACGTGCAAAGTGCCATCCTAGTCTAATTGAAATATATGATTTCGACTTTATAAACATATACATGTCATTACTACAAATATTATATAAATTTTTATATACTATCTGATATACGCTCGAATACTAAAAGACTAAACCATTTTAAGTTGTACTTAAATATTGTGCAATCTCTCTTATTTTACTTAGTGACAGAACCATACTTAAGAGCAACTTCAAATTGAATAGCATTTGAGTATTTTGACAAGTACTGTAAATCACAAAAATCATAAGAAAATTTTGCAGGCTACCTTGAAGTATCCGCATCTTTATTGAAAGAGTTATGCACAAACTATTCAAAAAGGATCAATATGATATTGATCTTGTAATGGTAATAATTTTTGGGAAGTTTTTAGATAGCAGTGTATGAAATATTTAGCAACTACAACTGCTGAGCGGAATCTTGGTAAATCATCAGTGTTTGTAGACACATGGATTTACTATATCAGTACCAATATTCATCCCACACCAGTAAAAAACCAACAATTGTATTCTATGTGCTATTTTGAAATTTTAGAATCCAAAACATTATACTATAATAGTAACAATGATATGAAACACTGGAGCATAATTACAAAACTGCCTCTTGGCAATTCCAAAATGGAAAAATGCATGCGCTTAATTTAATAAAGTATAGGTACTATGTTAAAGTACAACCATACTTAAAAATACATTATTGACATGGTTATAAATAACCTAATATCCAGAATGAAAATACTGGATTGATTTAGTTATAATACAATGAGTTTCAGTTATAGTTAAAGTAGTAAGTAATGATACAAGTTCTAATCTTTAACACTAAGACCTGACCGGTATGAAAAGGTACTCACAGGAACGCAGCTTAGCTGCAGGGTATCCACACTGTGCACATTTTGATTTTTGGATGTGATACGAGGATCTGCCACACCTTCTGCACAAGGTGTGTGTCTTGTTACGACGCTTACCAAAGCTCGAAGTACCCTTCGTCTGAAATACACATTTTTCAGGTTATAATTTAATATCCATGAAAATTTCACTAATATACGTAATTCTCAATTTACATAGTTAAAACACAATGAATTATACAAAATTATAATAGAAATATTGTATAATTTCAAAGATTAATTTAGATATAAAATACAAAATCTATACACTACCATCTTGTCAGAATTTGACAAGCCAAGAGAAAACAAATTGGTCAGACAGTCATTAAAATGTTACCAGAACTCAAGCTCCACAGATTATAATATTAATAATATTATATTTCTTTTCAGTTTGCGAAAAAGTAATTGATTCTAATATTTTTTTTTTATCAAGATTAATTTAATCAGCAGGTGCATTATATTTTTAAGTTGCTTTTCAAATATTATTTGTTATACTTCACACTCAAGTCTATGCTCACACACTCACTCACTTACAGTATAAGCTTGGCAAAAAAGACACGGTGACAACTGGACTCTGACCGCTCTGACCATGAAATAAAAAAACTATTTTTTTCTTAACTAGTTTTAAAAAACTAATTTTATAGAAATTATTATTTTTATTCCATAGCTTTGACTATCTGATTTTAATTATAGTTATCTGTGAGTTATGTTATCTGTGGTATCAATCATTCAAATTGTCACTAATTGTCTTTGTCATTCAATCAATGTTCTCATCTAATTGGACCGTGTTGTGCCAAATCATACCAATCCACAATTTCGTCAAAATTGAGTTATATACATCATCCAACGTAAAATCACCTCTAAATTCTTGTGGCTAAGTTTGATTTCAATCTGACACATATAGCTGAAGTTATTAAAAAATAAAAGGTATCTGGAACCAACCCACAATATGTATAAACATTTTTTTTTTGGTCAATTCAAGACATGCCGTTTGGAACTCGCCTTAAGCTGTAAGCGATATTGCTTGAATGTACCAAAATGACTTGGTATATTAGCAAACTGCAAACGATATTGGTTAAACATACCAAAAGCACTTGGTATATGTTGTCCTAAGCGTAAACAATATTGCTTGAATGTACCAAAAGCACTTGGTATATT